TTCTGATTGGTGTCTGAACTGAAAATGGAGGGCTGGACAGAAACAAACATCATGACACTTTCTATGTAATACCCTGGAACTTGGCTGTCCTTCAGGCCACCAAATTATGATCTTGCTTTTGCTTCTATTTCATAACATTCACTTCTTGGAGCAGGGCTGCCTGACTGCAAAAGGCCAGTCGCCACCTTCTCAACCCATACCCCCTTACGCCCACTGCTGTAATTTGGCAAGTATGACCTGCCCAAGTTCAGAGAGACTCCGAAAAAAATCAAAAAAGAAGCACATTTTTCTCCTGAGCTAAATCTATATTTCAATGGAGAAGACAATGTCATTTGAATGATAATATATGATCCTGCTGCCCAATCTCATCTTGGCATCATCGTTTTATTCAATTATCTGTGCTCTATCCAAAAAGGAACTGTCCCATTTATAAGCAAGACAAACAGTGTGACTGTCTCTTTTACCCAAGTCCCTAGTACAGCATCACTTGTAACCAGCATTATCACTCTTGGGATAACTGCTTAGAAGCCATATGTCAGAAGCCCACAGATAAACTTGAAATCCTAAACAAACTTCAGTAATATGGTATAATATGCCCGGCCAGTGTGGCTCAGTGGTTGAGTGTCAACTTGTAAACCAGGAAGTAACAGTTCAATTCCCAGTCAGGGCACATGCCAGGGTTGCAGGCTCAATCCCCAGTAGGGGGCATGCAGGAGGCAGCCAATCACTGATTCTCTCTCATTGATGTGTTTATCTCTTCCTCTCCCTTCCTCTCTGAAATCAATAAAAATGTATATATTTCTTTAAAAAGAAATATGGCATAATAATTATTCAATGATTTCTAAAATGGAAGTCGGTGGCATCTCCAGGTAGTTCAGCCCAAATTTCTGGGCTTGGACTCAATGACAGAGTATCTCACGTGCAAATCTCCTGCTCAGTCACTTCCTCTCTTTGTTTTCAGAAGGATTTCCAAGCAGAATATTCATATCTTTTTCTGTAGATCCACTGACTCAGCCTTGGCACAATTTTCTGAGCAAAGTGAGTACGTGTGTTGTGTGTTTATCTTACTCATTGTTTTATGATATTAGGATGGTGGTTTTGAGAGATTTTCATTTCTCTTGTTGTTATTGGACTCTGTCTTCTCTCCCACCTTCATTCCTATTGATGTGCTCACAGGTTATCATTTGTGTGATTTCTGAGACACAATGAATCAAAGGGATTAAAAGATCATTTTTTAATATGCAATTTTGTCATTAATAGAATAGAGGCACCTACCCGTCTCAGCTCTCACCAGAAAGAAAGAAAAATATGGAAGAAAATCATCATCATCGATTTAATAGTTTTCATTTGGCTTCCACAGACCACCTCTCCTGCCACACAGATGCCTCTCTCTTCTGCTAGAGGTTAGCAAAGACTTTCAGTCAAAACTTGCATTCACAGCTCAAAAGAACACTGAAAACTGACAAGCCTCTCTGCTGGGTGGGTAGCAGTGAACTTTCAAACTGATTGTAGAATTTGGGAAGCCAAGCTATGTGAGCTCATCAATTGTGAGTTTAGAATTATGAAAAAGAAAGACTCCAGTTTCACCCCCAAGTCTTTCATTTTTTAGCATTTTAATGTAAACATTATTATATGCAATTGTGGTTCCTGGGGGGAAATTCTCTATTTTTGCTTCTAATTTGGTTTACATTAATCATGTCCATATCAATTAAAAGGCAACTCCTTGGGTAGGAGAGAAATAGAATTCAGAGACATAGAAATGATTAGATGTGTATTGTTGATCTCCACAAGGAAAAAGGTAACTGCAAATTTTAAGTACTATTTTCTGCTGTGTTTTATTCATTTTTACATTCCTGAAATGTGGAATATGTGTTTATTCAATAGGCAGGCAACCTGCTAGGTAGCAGTAATACAAGAAGATTGAGTTACAAACCTGCCCTCAGTCTACCTAGAGAATACGAACATAAATATTTTAAAAGAAAGTCTTAAGTGCAGTGATAGGGATTTGAACAGGAGAGCATAGAGAGAAGCATCCAACCCACCAGGCTTTCTGGAGGAGGCAGAATCTGATCTGTGATTGGAAGGTTAAGTAGAAGGTACCTATGTGAAAAGGAGGTGGAGGGAGAGCAAAGGGACAGAAGGATGAGCATGGTGCACACAGGGAATTAAACAGTTTCCACATTTCTAGGGGGAAACTATAAAGTAGACATTGATCAGAGATAAGCCTAGGGGGTCAGAAGGGACCAAATCTTTAAGGTCTTATTTACAGCAGTGGTGGAAAACATTTTAGGGTTTTAAGCAAAGGAAAGGAAATGTCCAGTTTGTTTCATTTTATTTTTTGGCAAATGCTGTGTGTGTGTGTGTGTGTGTGTGTGTGTGTGTGTGTGTATGTGTGTGTTTCTATGTCCTGTTAATGTGGTTTATCACATTTATTGGTTCACATATGTTGATGCATTTTTGCATACCAAGGAAAAATCCCACTTGGTCAATAGAGTATGAGCCTTTTCATTAGATTGTTGAATTAAGGTTGCTAGAATTTGGTTGAGGATTTTTGCAAGAGATATTGGCCTATAATTTTCTTTTTTGTAGTGTCTTTTTCTGGCTTTGGTATCAGGGAAATTCTAGCCTCATAAAGTGAGTATGGAAGTGGTCCCTCCTCTTCAATTTTTTTTAAAGTGTTTGAGAAGAATTAGTGTTAATTCTTCTTTAAATATTTGAATAGAACTCATCAGTGAAGCTTGAGTCTTTCTTTGTTGGGATTTATTTGATTACTGATTCAACCTCCTTAATAGTTATAGGTCTATACAGATTTTCTATCTTCATGATTTTAATGGTGTATCAGTTAGTTTGTGCTGCATAACAAATCATCCCAAAATGTAGAAGTTGAAAACAAATGACTATTTTGCCAGATCAGCTGATTTTACTTGGCTCTCATGTCTCTGGGGTTCAGGTAGCAAGTTGACTGGCAGCTAGAGGATCTAGAATGACCTCCCTCACATGATGGTCAGAAGCTGTTTTCCATCATTCCTTAATTTTCTTCCATGTGGCCTCCCGTTCAACAGCTTGAGCTCATTCACACAGTGGTCTCAGGGGTCCCAGGGCAACGAGAGTAAAAGCTGCCAGAGCTCACAGTGTAGACAAGCACATGACTATTTCTAAGTATTTTAGGAAATATTCTTTGAGATGTCTATAAGATGATTCATTGAGTTTGAGAAAGGGTTGAATCAACACATAGACCCTGGAAACAATTGAAAGGGGGCTAAAGTGGAATCTGCCACCATCCAATGGATACATTTTCACTCTAAATGTAATTCATTTATCTCTGAAAACCCTGCTTTAGACACAGCCTGGGGGAGAACATAGCTCCATTTCTTTCATACTCTCAAGTGGATCCTAAAGGATTTATATTCTACCTCCAAATATCTGACATTTTAGTGAAAAAAAGTTGTAATGGAATGTATTATTTAAAAAGAAAAACTAACTTGTTTATACTATTAAGAAAAACTTGTTTGTTATTGTCTTTCTTTTGCTTTCTTTTTGTTTGTCTCTTTTTGCTTTTAGCATTTTGTGGGGGGTTTTGGTGATGTACACTTACAAAAAAATAAAAACCTTCCCCTGCCCCCATTTTCACCTCAGATAGAAGATGCCAGCATTTTTATCTTTAAAGTCTAACCTCCCTTCTACCATAACTCCAGGAGAATACACAATTTCTCTTATTTCAGATCCACAAATATAGGGTAAATCAGAAAGAGGAATAGAAGGTGATGCTTTGAACTGAAGAGTAGGTGTGCCCCAATCCCGAGGTGGCTTCCCTGAGTTAGAAAGAAGTCAGTGGTGACAGCTTCCCCAAGAAATGGCATTGTGCCCCCTCCCACCCATGCTCAAGGGCAGCAGGACCTCTGAGGAAGGGCAAGATAAAGACTTGAGACCTGACTACTCAGAAGTCTCCCTACCCAGAGCACAGAGCTACCCACTTACTAAAGGAAGAGGTGGCCTTAAGCAATGAGCATCTCAGAAGAGACAATGATGGACTGAAGACCAGTGGGTTTTCACCCCAATCTTCCTGATTGGAAAAGCCCTTTGGTTGCTGTGGACAACCACCAAAATATAATCAAGCTTAAATATCCTGCAGAGCTTGATGAATAGAAACTGAGAGGAATTTATTTCATTTAGAAAAATAAATATTGTGGTTTTTATACACACATGAAGCAAAGAAATGTAGCTTACACAACTTCTTCCATTTTCATTACTGAGCCTCTCTCTCTCTCTTTCTCTCTCTCTCTCTCACTTTCTATGACCTAGGCAGCTGGAACTAGACCAGGGATGAATCCGAAAACAAACAGTAAGCCATATTCAGAGCAACCACTTTCCTCACACAACCACTGCTTTGTTATCATGCCAAGCTTATCTTCCTGGATCTCTGTCCCTGAGGACAAATTCTCTTCCAGAAGATTCAATCGAGTCTACTGCAAATAGACCACTGGTGTGCCTGCCACATCAGTTAGCCAAATGTGCCCAGATTTTCTGAACTCCAGAAATGGGTATACCTGGGATTCAGAACCTCATCTGGAGGCTCATAGGAAATATAACGTTGAAAAAGTCAGGTCCTCTGACATATTAGTGAACAAGACAACTTTAGGAGATGTATTAAGAAGCACTAAATGCTATAACAACCCCAAAATCTCAGTGGACAAACACATTCAGAGTTTACTGCTCTCTTACCACAATCAAATGAGGTCAGCAAGGGACTCAGCTTCATGCAATCATTTAGGGATGCAGTCTCCTGTCATCTTAAGGTAGTGCCATCTTCCAAGGATCCATCCTTCTCTGCATTAAGCTAGTAATGGGATGCGAGTGAAAGATTGGACAAGAGCACGAAGGACTGCATAGGAGAAGATCTCATGAGCCAAGCCTTGAAATTGTATGTAACACTCACCTCCGTTTCCACTATTGCAAAGTCAAGCACATGCCCACTGCAAAGAAAGCTGGGAAATACATACCCAGGAACTGGTGGAAATTCATTTGGTAAACATCTGGCCAGTCTCAAGTCTCAGCCACAAGAATTTCTCCCTGCTTATATTTCTCCATTCTTCTGGATTGGGTGAGCTAATAACTGAAGAAATCACAGGAGAACATATTAAATTATGACTACTTCCTACTTTCCAGTGAGCTAAACAACTTATAGACTCTTAATTCTTTGTGTGGAAGTTAAGTCCTATAAATAGTTAAGTGGATCAACTCCTCATTTTAGTAATTATTTCATAGTAAATCTCTAATTGTTCTAGAGTTAGGCTGACCAGGCAACCCAAAATACTGGAAATCCAATTTTTAGTTCCTCGAAAAGGTACAAACACTGCTCGCTCCTAATTTTATTAATGTGATGAGAGGTGGACATTTGATCTCAAAGGCCTCTCCAGGTTGAGGTCACTGCTTTGAGCCCTGGAAACTTCACTTCAAGAAGCCAAACCATAGATCTGAAGGCACCTGGAGAAGTTACAGGAAGGGAATTGAATGTGCATATCCTTGGGGTAGGAGAGTCCTCATCAGGATGTTAATGAGTCCCCTCCTCCTTTCTGGAAACCTGAGAAATGAGTCTTTGAGGCCAGGTAGGTATTCTGCTTGATCTCCCCTTGGGAGTGCTGGAGACAGGGCACACTTCCCTGCCAGATTCCTCTTCCAATATTCCATGTTGTGCAGCCCTTCTATTTACTGCGTGTGCTCACAAGTCTACACGGGGAAATGAGTTTAGGAAAGGTCTTAGGTAAAACTTGGCTTAATATTCTCGGAATTCAGTCTATCTTCACTCACCCTCCAAAGAATGCCTGCTTCCCTAAATATATTTTAACTCTTTCATTTATCTTACCCTTAATTTTTTTCCCAAGATCCTGTTCAGTTAGAGGCTGCCTAATATGAAAAATAACAATAATGTTTCAGAGACCATTGAAAATGTTTAGGGATTCAGCCATAGCCGGTTTGGCTCAGTGGATAGAGTGTCAGCCTACAGACCAAAGGGTCCCGGGTTCAATTGGGCACGTACCTTTGTTGCAGGCTCCTCCCCAGCCCGGGCCCTGATTGGGGCTAGTGCAGGAGGCAAACAATCGATGTGTTTCTCTCACATTGATATTTCTCTTTGTCTTTCCCTCTCTCTTCCACTCTTTCTAAAAATCAATGGGAAAATATCCTCGGGTGAGGATTTTTTAAAAAGAAAGAAAATGTTTAGGGGTTCAAAAAAATTGACACAACTTTCAAAGGAGAAAAAGTCAAAAACGTTTTTATAATGTGGTCCTCCGATTTCTGCATAAAATTACCTACACTGTTTTTTTCAAAATACAGATTCCTGGGCTCCACTACAGACAGACCTACAAAGCCAGACTCTAAAGTGTAAAGCCAGGATTCTGAATTTTAAAAGAAATTTTCCATGTGATTCTAATTTACATTAAAGCTGAGAATCACTAAACAAAAGGATGTTTGGGTCTTCTGATAAATTATATTTCTCTCAAGAAAAAGCAGGATATTCGGGGTAAGGTAAAAATAGGTTTATAATTGTCTGTCTATAAAATAATAGAATAATTAAATAATAATACAAGAATAAAAATCCTAGAAGAAAACATAGGCAGTAAAATCTCAGATATTTCTCATAGCAATATTTTTTCTGACATAAGTCCTCAGGCAAGAGAAACAAAAGAAAAAATATACAAATGGGACTAAATCAAACTAAATAATTTTTGGAAACCATCAACAATATAAAAAGACAACCCACTGGAGAGAGACAAAGATGGCGGTATAGGCAAGTGCCTGTACTCACTGCCTCCCACAACCACATCAAAATTACAACTGAAATATAGAAAAACCGTCATCCAGAACTGCTGGAAAGTTGGCTGAATGGAAGTCCTACAATTAGAAAAGTAAAGAAGAAAGCACACTGAGACTGGTAGGAAGTGCGAAGGCCCAGAACGGGCTGGTCCAGCACCCACCTGTGCAGCTTCTTTAATTGGGAGGGAGATCGTCTTTGGGGAGGCCGCCCAAAGGAGCAAGGGGTCCCAGCCCCACACCAGATGCCCAGCCCAGGGTCCCAGAGCTGGGAAAATAAATCCTTATGGGAAGTAAGAACTATAGGCTGTAAAAAACAGTGCAGATTGGGGCTCAGTGACACAGAGGCTGCTGGAGACCTGGCTGTTCCTTTTAAAAGGCCGGCACACAAACTGAACTTACAAGGTCCCGCTTCCTCTAAGCTTCAACACCAACGTGAGGCTCTTGGAAACACAGACACATACGAGGAGGAACAGAATTGTCTGGCACTGGGGCAGGAACTCAGTCAGGGGTGGCTTTCTCCCAGAAGGAGGTGCTGGCAGGGATCATTGTTCCTATGCTGGGAGCTCCCCAGTCTCAGGGCTGATTGGAAGCCATTTCAGTTTGCTCCACCCTGGTGATTCCCTGAGACCTGGCCCCATCCAATTTACAACCCCACCCATGCTGCTTGCAGCAGCTTTTGCATATGAATGACCTGTCCTTGCTCAGGCTAAAATTCTCGCAAACAAACTGCAGCTGGGTCAGAGAGCTCCAAACCTATCAATAAAAGGCCTAAGATCCCACACCAGTGCCAGCCTGCCTTGCTTCACAGCTGGGCCTCATCTGGGCACTTCCAAACCCGATACAAAGAGTAAGAATCTGCAGATATCTCTGTAGCTCCTGCTGGGTGACCCCAGGCAGTGGCTGACTTTGCACCTCCCTGGAGACCCAAGAGCCAGTGTACTCAGTGGTCAGTATCAGACCATACCAGATTACAACTCTACACATCCATAAGTGACACACTCAAGGGCAGACTCAGTGAGCACCAAAGCCCCACTGAAGCAAGTCCTGCTCCATAGGGGTGTCTACTGCACAGTAGCTCTCCCACTATAGTGGCAGCTGGTCCTCACAGCCAATTGGCCTAGAGGTCAAGTCCTCCCAGTGACACCAATAGCAATCAAGTCTCAACTACAGCAAGACTGTGCTCACAGCCCACAAAGGGGTGTACCTAGAGTGCCCAGCTTAGGAGACTGGGGTGGCTGAGGGACGACCAAATGACTGAACAGCAGGCTGTGTGGGGTAACCAGGCCGGCGGCAGGGCGGGGTGGGGAGGGTGGAGTTAGGGGCTACCAGGCTGGCAGAGTGGGGCAGTTGGGGGCGACCAGGCCAGAATGATTAGGCTGGCGGGGGGGGGGCAGTTAGGGCAACCAGGCAGGCAGGCATGTGAGTGATTAGGAGCCAGCGGTCCAGGATTGTGAGGAGGATGCAGGCTGAGCTGAGGGGATCCCCCCTCCCATGCACGAATTTCGTGCACCAGGCCTCTAGTAATAAAATAGAAATAAATAGAAAAAAAAGACAACCTACTTAATGGGAGAACATATTTGCCAATGATACATATGGTAAGTGGTTAATATCCAAAATTTATAAAGAATTTATAAATCTCAATACCAAAAAGCAAGTAAATATAAAAAATGCCCAAAGGATCTGAATAGACCCTTCTCCAAAGAGGACATACAGATGGCCAATAGACATATGAGGAGTTGCTCAACATCTCTAATCATAAAAGAAATGCAAATTAAAACCACAATGACATATCACCTCACACCTGTCAGAATGGCTATCATCAATGCATTAACAAACAAGTGTGAACAAGGATGTGAAAAGAAGGGCACCCTCATGCACAGTTTGTGGGAATGCAGATTGGTGCAGCCTTTGTGAAAAAGAGTATGGAGTTTCCTTAAAAAATTAAAAATGGAACTGCCTTATGATCCAGTGATTCCACTTCTAGAAATATATCTGAAGAAATCCAAAACACTAATTTGAAAGAATATATCCACACCTATGTTCATTGCAGCATTATATACAACTAGAGGCCCAGGGCACGAATCCATGCACGGGTGGGGTGCCTTGGCCTGGCCGGCAATCGGGGCCAATCAGGGTGGCCGGCCGTGGGGAGGGATTACAGGAGGTTGGCCAGCTGTGGGGGGTTGGCTGTGGGAGCGCACTGACCCCCCGGCCGGCTGGGGGGAAGGGACCGTGGGAGATTGGCTGGCCATGGGAGGTTGGCTGACCACCAGGGGGCAGCTCCTGCGTTGAGCGTCTTCCCCCTGGTGGTCAGTGCACATCATAGCTACCAGCCGGTCGTCCAGTTGTCTGATCATCCAGTCATAATGGTCGCTTAGCCTTTTATATATATAGATAGTCAAGATATGGAAACAACCCAAGTGCCCATCAGTAGATGAGTGAATAATAGAGTGGTGGTACATTTACACAATGGAATGCTACTCAGCTTTACAAAAGAAGATAATCTTACCTTTTGCAACATCATGGACGGACCTGAAGAGCATTATGCTAAGTGAAATAAGCCAGTCAGAGAAAAATGAATACCATAATTTCACTTACATGTGGAATCTAATGAACAAAACAAACAAAATAGAAACGGACTCATAGATACAGAGAACAGGCTGAGAAGAGGAAGAGAGACTGAGGAAAGAGAAAGTTGAGGGAAAGAAGACAGGAAAGATGAGTAGAAGAAAAGCTTAGGTGATTATTTCATTTACTAGTAAGGTGTGAAAGAACAAAAATGAGTCAGTGAATGGGGAATGAAGAGGAGCACAGAGTGGTAAGAAGGAAATCCAAAGAGAATATTACATCAGAAGTGATTGAAGAGATGAGAGTCAAGAGTGTCAACATACTGTCAAAAAGAGAGTAGACCATAGCTGGAGTTGTGTAGTTATTATTTCTGTGAATTGAGTATATTCTATTCAGGACTACACTGCAGCTCTGAAAATAAGTACAAATTGTGCCAAAGTGCATAGTTTTCTGCTCCAGTGTAAGCTTTGCCAGCTGTCAAATACCAGTAGTTTTCAAACTAAATAAGGTCATACTTCTATTCCTTTCCCTTCCCCAATGATTTCATGCAAATTATGAATAAAGGATGTAGCAATTTAATAACTCACTGCCCTTTTGAACTTAGCTTAATAGGAATCTACCAGAAGAGTGATTTAGAAGAAAAACTATAAAAAGTATTGTATTCTGCTTGTGTTGAATTGAATTAAGGCTTTTAGGAAGATAAATGAAATAGTCGTTTACTAAAAATAGAGT